TCCATATAGAACAGAATTTCATATTAACATATAGTTATTTGTCATTAATTGTATGAAAGCTAATGTTAACATTTAATAATAGCTACTGTTATAGTATAACTCGAGCATTTTCTAAGTGTTAAGCCTTGTCAAATTCTATATGTGTGTATGTAAAATCCTGGCAGCAACTCTTACAAATCAGGAGCTAGAGACTTAGGTAGAGCAGTGCTTTTCAAGTTGACTAAATTGTAATTACCTGGATAGACAGAGACGTGTCTGTGCTCTGGTTGCACCAAGACCAGTGAAATCAGAGTCTTGGGGGTGGGATGCAGGCTTTACTTTTTAAAATCATCATCTAGGTATTTGATCCTGGAGTGTGTGAACTCAAACCCTATACTCTTAACCATTATGCTACAATGACTTCATGTTTTAGACATTCAGATTATATCAAGATCTTAATAGCAACATATTTATGTGACATAGGTCCAAAAGAGCTATGGATTTCCAAAATTCTTATTCAAGTGTAATCTCTTTAGTTTGGAACCCAGCAACCTAGGTTGACTCAGTAAGCATATATTGAACAAGTATATGAGTAAAAGTAGGACAATTGGCCACAGGACTAAATAAGCTGTGGCCCCACTTCCCAGATGCTATCAATATCATAGGGAAGACAACTGAATCCAAATTAACATCTCCTGTGTAATTTAATGCAGACAATGATAAGTGGTAAAACAGAGGTATTTCAGGATTTCTGATTATTTGGGCAAGGATTGGATCTTTGCAATTTTAGGTTTTTGAAACTCAGTTTCTATGTTGTCTACTTTTACGAGTGGGCAGAACCATGATGTTGAATGAAGCTCTTTCCCTGAGGCCCTTGGTGTTCTATTTGATTTTCTTTTATTGGACATAATGCTTTCCGCCTCATGTTGTATGACTTATTTATATCCCACCTTTCCTACTGAATTCTCATCCACATGAAGGCAGAGAACTTACCACAATGCTTTCCTTCTAACAAACAACCCACATTTGTTAAAGAAATGATAATAAAAGATTCACTGAAAATTATAATATTTGAATTGGATGAAGGTGTAGCTGTTCTTTCTCACGCACTGCCACAGTCCATGTACAGTTGATTCTTATTATTTCTAGTAGCCTGCATTATCAACTGCTGAGCCATTGTTCCTAGGGAGATGCAGGGTTATAGGTTCTTGTGACCCTCTAGTCACAATATTTGTGGCAATGGATCAATGCATAAACTTCTGTTATGTATATTTCTGTCTAAAGATGCCTTGTTTAATATATATTGTTGAAGTCAATATAATATTGATTTCATGTTCATCAGCACTACAAGTCATGTCTGAAGGAAGCTTATCTAACACGAGTATTTTCTCCATAAGGCACATCACAGCCATGCTCTTAAGAGTAATAGACAGCACTTCAGCACTATGCTTGGGGACTCTTTTATTTATTTATTTGTAATTAAAGTTTATTGGGGTGACAATTGTTAGTAAAGTTAGGTTTCAGGTGTACAGTTATGTAATACATCATTTATGTATCACATTGTGTATTCACCACCCAGAGTCAGTTCTCCTTCCATCACCATATATTTGATCCCTTTTACCCTCATCTTTAAATAGCAAACTCACCAACAAAAACCACAGAAATGTGAAAAACATGACACTCAATAGATCACAAAAAGGACACTTGTTTATAGTCTGAGAGAAGAAAAAAGAAGGCAAAGCATTGCGTTGTTCAGCCTGATTGGGCATGTGTGTGGAGGTGGGAGGGGGGAGGTCTCAAATTTTTTGCCACTCTGCACATGTCCAAAGATGGCCGCGAAAGCACCCTGAGTATTCACTTGTGGGTTCCAAATTTTAGTGAGTAGATAAATTCACAAGTGCGGAATCCATGAATAATGGGATCAACTGTGTATAATTTTACATGCAGATGATTAAACTACAAGAAGAACTACTATCAAACAGCAGTTTTAACCGATTTAGTTACTGGGTCAGTGCTTCTCACTTAGCATGTATCAGAATTGCGTGGTGAGCCTGTGAAAATATTCATTGTTGGGCCCCACCTGAATTTCTGAATTACTGGATGGGGATACAGCTTCAGAATTTGCATTTCTGATAAGTTCCCAGATGCTGCTGCTGCTGCTGGTCCAGGGACCACACTTTGAGAACCACTGGTATAGCTAATAGTACTGCATACTTTGAAATAGTCTGTAGTTCAGAAATTTTCCTTCAACCAGACTGATCTATACTTGAGTCAATTACTAGTCTAAAATATATTTATATTCATATCATATCTGAAACTTTTAAGTATGTTAATATGTAAGTATGCTAATTTTTTATGAATTTTTAATATTATTTTGCTTTTAGGAACTCGTATGTTCGGTTAAGACATTTATGTACCAACACTTGGGTAACCAGCACTAGCATCCCCATAGACACAGAGGAAGAGAGGCCGGTTATGCTGAAGGTAAATGTATCTGAAAATGGTTTCGTTTTCAGCCAAATGTTGTGTGAATAGGATTAAGGGGTGACTTACATGTTCCTGACAACCCGTCTTCACCAATATTAGAGATTATTGCCATTCATTTCATCAAGTTCTCATGTCTGCCAGTTGCTTAGGTAGCTTGGCTGCAGCCAGGCTGTCATTAAGGAGGGTGCAGCAGCACAGATACCAAAAGAGTGGGAGGAGCCTGTTAGAAAGGGGAGACATTCCAGGAGTTCATTTTCTCTCCTTGGTTGAAACGGAAGCAAAGGGCAAATGTGAAAGGGGCCTGTTTCTAGTCGGTCCTTTGGGCTTTGGGGACAAGGCAGGAAGTAGGCATGGACCGTCTGTGTCCCTCCCGCCTTTCCTAGCAGATGATGTAGGTGGGAATTTCTGTGTTTGGATTATCTACACCCATTTTGTATTTTTTAAACTGTACTAAGATGTTGTTAATCCTTGAAGAATATTGCAGTTATTT